AATCCTGCTGTGAAGCTTATAAGCCAGTGAAAGAAATTAAAATATTTCAGTGTTACTCCTTCTCTCATCTTTTTATAATTTACTTCCTTTGAAATAGGGAAGTAAGTAAGGTTTAGAGTATGGAAAATGAAATATAATTCAAAATTGACCTTTCAAAATTAAACTTTTATATTTATTTTTTTTTCTGAGGAAGGGCTGATGTAAAGTGTTTCTCTTAGGTAAACATTCCTGAAAGAGAATATGCATTTTCCTTTCCAGTTCAATACTGTAATAATGATTTTTGTCAGGTAGTTTTCAACCCATGTTTGTGTCACTGCCATTAGCTGGGTCCCCAGCACTCCCTGTGCTTGCACACTGATTTCATTGCTGCATCTTATTTGTTATTGTTTTTCATTTATACCATCCGTCTTCTTTCTTTTCTTGCAGATTGTGATATCTTTAGTCTGAACTTTTTAACTGGAATCAGAACTGGATGTTGGGGTCACTTTCTTTTATTGTACAATCCAATTACATTAAACTGCCCTAAAAATCCAGATCATTTGTCTAAAACATAAATGTTTTTGTTGCCAGCAGTCACACTGCTGAACATAACTGTATTAACAAAAAATTGTTCCGTTCCTCAAATACTGTATTGAGAAAAATGAAAATTTCATCGTGGAAACCTTGTATTTTATTGTTTTAGTTTAAGTCACTAATAAAACTGTGAATGTCAAAGAGGAGTTTTGCTGAACTCTGCTTAGCAAAAATGTCATTTTAACATGCCTGTTCAGTTTTTTTTCTATTAAGTTAATCCAAAGACTTACTGAATGAATTTAAGAAAAGTTGACCTTATTATAAAAATTCACAACTAAAAATGTCTTTTTGATTTCCTTTTGATGGACTACTACTATGTTAAATATGTGAGTAAAACTGATTTCAGGCATTTTGGAATATCCCAGTGACACACTGCATTTTACAAGTACTGAAATATTTGTATTCTGGAGGAGAAAATGAGTTTAAAATTCAGAGCAAGAGCTATTATTTTTTCTGAAGGGGAAAAAAAAAATAAAGCAACATGGTGGTAATTCCCTCATTGTGATTTATTTTTGGCAACACCTTGCAGCAACTGTGTTCTCCAAACTGAAAGGTGCTTAATTCTTCACTTTCTTCTGTATTCTGCAGGTCCCATAACAACAAACTGCAGTCTACAGCTTCTTAGAGTTCAGCGTGTTAACCAAACACACGAGCAAGGATCTGGTTGTCTGACAATTTTTAATTAAGGAACCAGATGTTTTTAGTCAGGTTATCCTGACAAGACTTGATGTAAACTGCGTTTTTATTGGTCACAACAAGTCAAATTATATTCTTGGCTTATTTTGTCCAAAGGACAAAGAAATAAAAATCAGCAGCACCACTTTCTTGTCAAGATCAAATTGTTGTACTATTGTGGCAGAAGCAGGAAAACTTTGTTTTGTTGAAGGAGAGAGAGAAAGAGAGCAAGAAAAAAGATACAGTAAATGGGGTCACGTTTAACTCCATGGAAATGCCACGTCTGTTCTTCAGTGAAGAAGCTGGTTTAAAGTCCACACAGAAAACTTTGACTGTATTTATTTATTGTTGCAAAAAAGACGCTTTTTTATTGCTGCCCTCATTTGTCAGCTAATTATTTTTTCTTATAAAATCCAGCCCCGGTTCCATGTAATCCATTCTGTATCTTAACATGATTCCTGTAGGTAAAAGTACAAGAAGACCTCTAGATGTCTTTTCTTTCTATGAAAGGAGCTGCTATGTACACATGTGCACACACACAGGACTGGGAATCAACAAGGAGTTTATCATTCATGGTAGATAAAAACAAGCTTGCATAAAAGTTGGGCTGAGTGGTCATGGACTACAGACTCTGTTGCCTTGAATATAACAAACAGTACAATTTGTCATTTACTCTGCACCAGACTGAACTGAGTAAAATCTATTTGAAGGTATCTTGTTTGTAAACATTTGTCAGATTCTAATTTTTTTTCTTTTGTATTAAAATTCAAAATATGGATGTATATGAAACAAAATAAATGGAGATCATTGTTCTCCCCACAGCCGTAGGTGTGTTTGAGTGTGCGCTGCCACGTGTGTGAGACACTTTGGGGATCTGTGCAGGAGTGTAGGGATTGCAAGGAACAGGGGTGGGAATGGCCGGGGAGCAGGACCCGACCGCGTTCCAGCCCTGCTATCCCGATACAACATTCCCACAGTGGTGCCAAAAGGACTGCTGTAGCTGTGACAGGGCAGGAGGTGTTTGTGAGGTGTCCCTGCCCACCGGAGCTCGGTGATCTTTGCCAAGTGCACTGGGAATGTGGAGTACCACCTGTAATTGTATCCCTGGGAGGCTCCTGGGCTGCCTTCGTGTTTCCTGTGGGAGCAGCGCTGCCCTGAGGGATGAACTGGAGCCCGAGAAGATGCAAATTGCAGATGAGGAGGCTTTTCTTTCGCTGTGTGTGACTGACTTGCTCTGGTACCTGTCTGTAGTTCCCAGCCCTGGTTTCTCTGCAGCTCCTCACCCACCTGACCAGCTTTTGCACTAACTCACAGTCAACTTCTGTTCTACAATGGTCTGGGATTTACCTGATTTATGGATAAGCTCCTTTTGGGTTTAACCTCACACCTTGCTATGCAAGAACCTCCTCCGTTATTTTTCTTAAAAAGGATGTTGCTACTGACCACCCTTTCTTACACTTCCAGCTCAGGTGTTCAGGTTCTTCTGGGGGGATTTTATCTACTAAAAACCCGTGTGTTTTTGTACATACAAATGTTGTCATTTAACCTATCTGTGAAAATTACTAATTGTTCAGTGTGGAAACAATAATCCATTTATGCTTCTGAAAGTCAAAGAAGAGTAGTTGCATTTAGGTTATGTTGTCCTTTGACGTTTTAAAAAAATGCTGCATATTGTAAGCATTGTGTTTTAATGGGACAAGAAAAAAAATCTCACCTTTAACAGCACTGGGACATATCCTGCATCTCATCCCAACTTCTCAGCATTTCTGTACTATTTATTCATACCTAAATCCATATTGACATGATTTAAACCTTTCCTACCTGTAGGCAATAGATTACTGTTTTTAACAAATTGTGGCAAACTGAAGAGTACTTTTTTGTACCTTATAGGACACATCATCCTAGACAAATAAAGTAATGTGTTTGACATGGATTCGGTGGTGTTTCTAATGAAACATTGATAATGTTATTTGATATAGGTCTTGGCTTTGCCAAATCCTATGTAACTGTGAATCAGGTTGATTAGGGAAATAATCTGTACATGCAATTGAATGCTGCTGATTTTTCACCCAAGCCAAACCATTCTGTGATTCTATGAGAGCCTGTTTCAGTGTGTTCAGTTGCCATTGGGCAGGTCAGGCTACTTCTCTGGATTTAGTAGTGGTGATGTTTTATAGTTAAATGGTGTTACAGAAAATAGATCACTTGTAATTAATCCCCACCTGCCATCAAGCATAAAGTTCACGAGGTTTGTGATCTCTGCTCAGTCCTTGTCCTCTTTGTATTTTATAAATTACTGCAACAGTTGTTTCAAAACGGTCATATGTTGAAAGATAATGGTATGTCAGCTGTGCCAGCTTGATTTTCCTTTTCTGTCTCTTCAATTTTGAAGCAATTATCCTCAATTTAGTTCATGCAGAAGTTAATGAAGATTTAAAGTACAGTAAGAAGTTGGGCTTACCCAAAAGGCTCAAATAAACCCCTGGACAGATGGGATGAGAACAGTTGCTCCTTTACACCCAGATTTCTGTGAGGTGGTGGCAGAATTTTCCATACTTATCCTGCTGGAAAGGAAATTACTGACTGTGAGGTACCAAAATTGCCATGACAGCTGTTGAATGTGAGTACCATCCAGTTCCCAGTGTGGTTATTGCTGGGAGGGTTTTGGAATAGAAAGTGCAAGACTGGAAATCCTCTCAATCGAGCAATTGTTGTTCAGGAGGTGTGTTTAGTATGTGATGAGCCTGGTTACAACAGCCCTGCTCCTGCTCCAGCCCAGTCTCAGTGCAGCTGTGGCAGAGGGATTTATTGGTCAGCTACTGTGGGAGCATTTTAAGGAGGGACTTTCCAATCAAGAAGGGAAAGGTAAGAGGATTTAGTAACAGAGGAAGAGAACATGGGATAAATGACTTTTCAGGCTCCCAGAGCAACATCTGTATCCCAGCGTTTTGTGTCAGTTACAGCCACTGAGCTCAGGATTGGGATGTCCTTATCATTTATGTCCTGTGCTTATCTCTTCCCAGACATGTTGGGTTTGTCCCCACACTTCCCTGGCTTGGAGCAGGATAGCTCTGGGCAGGGTATGCCTGGAGGAGTTGCTGCTTAGTCTCTGGACTTGCCCTGAAAATAGAAACAAAGAAACTCAAGATGTACATGTAACCCTTCCTCCTTCTGTCCCTCCCAGTCACTCCAGAGCTTTGATACTTTGCCAGAACAGTCCTTCTGCCAATTCAAAACCCCCTCAGATTTTCTCAGGAAAATTCCATCAATCCATGCTGTTCTCCATGCAAAGTCTTTCACATACCGAAAGCGAGACATGGTATTTTTTAGGTAGATTCATGCTATGAGTAAATTTCTGTACTCCAGTGAGAGCCTTTTGGGTGCCAAATACGGGATGTTTGCTGTTGGTATTGGCTCCATATCAAGAAATACTTGATGCAGCATAGCCCGTCCCATCCCCTGCTCCGTGGCTTTCCAGTGGCACTAAATGAAGCTGCAGACTGTGACAAGTACAGTGTGTCAGAACTACCTCCTTGCAAAAAAGAAAATGCATCTCTAGAAGCCACTGTTTCCTGCAGCAGGTCACATCACATCACTGTGTATGTGGGGTTTTAAGCTGTATTGCATTTTTTACATTTCTTGATATAAATATGTATCAAATCCTCAGGCAGGTTGTTGCACAAGGAGATGCCTTTGTGCAATATCATTACATAAGCTTTTTGGGTCTTTCAGAACCCAGAGGACAGTGCAAACAGAACCTCATGAGCATTTTATTAGTTTCTTTTACAGATTTATTATCTGCGAATACTGACCAGGAACAACAAACATCTCAATTTCACCACATTAAAGGTATTAAAATACTGTCTTTTTGATTTAAAAAGTAACTTTACTCTTGTGCAAGTACAAGCTTGGCAATATTTCTCCTGGGGAATGGCATTCAGCACAGCTCTCGGATGAAGTGCCCAGGCACACCCAGTGTGTGCAGTCCATGCTCATTTTGCATTCCCTGCGCTGTCACTTGTAAATGCAACTGGCCATTTATGTTTTGCAGTTCTTGATTTGCTTTCAGTCAGTGTGTTCATATACTCAAATTATTACACTCTATTCTGTATGCTTTGTGTGAACATCCAGCTCTGCTGGAATAATGGTGTAATTTTCAAAAATACCATGGACATGGTTGAGGAGACAAAAATAATACAAATGGTACTCAGTGGTGTTGGTTTCTCTGAAATCAAATGCATGTGATACTTTAGGCAGAACTGTGAAAGCACAGTGAACATCCTGTGTAGATAAAGTTGTGGCATCATATAAACTGTTCAAGGTAAAGGGTTCAAAGTGCAGTTTTTGTCTACTGAGGATGAAGCTGCCAGAATTTTGCATTACACTTACTACAGATTATTTGGGGCACACTGCAGCAGGGGAAGCAACACTAACCTGTGGCTCTGAAAGCAGCTGGAGCAAATTCAGGGCCAGTTAACATTCCCTAGACTGACTTCAGTGCTGAACCTCACCAAGGGTGCCTGCTCGAGGCACCCAGTGTTCGCTAAAGCACAAAAGCAGGTGTTGGATTGCAGTTCCAGACGAGAGCACTGCCCACAGCCAGGTGTGTTCTGGGGGTGGATCCTGCTGCTCCCACATCCTGGACGGAGCCCTCAGAGCCTTATGGACACTTGGAGCGTGCTGCCCTCACCCTGAGATCCCTTTTCCTGTTGAATCTCCTCACATAGCTGCTGCTGCTCCCGACCCAGCCGTCCCCTGGCCGCAGCCGCCCGCCCAGGGCCGGCAGCAGCTCGGCGGGCACCTGCCGGCGCTTGTGGTAGATGTGCCCCATCACGATGTACCTGCTGCCTGCAACAACAAAAACAAAACAAACAGGGCTGCTGAGCCACAGGGAATGAATGGGAGATCACTCTGAGGGCACCAGGGTTGGGAACAGACGTGAAGTTGTGCCTGTGGAAACATCCTGAACATGGGGCTTCCACAGCAGCACCCTGAGCTCCGCTGGCACCTGGAGGTGGTGCTGGCATGAAATAATGATTTCCTGTCTGGAGAAATGCTGGTATTTGATAAACTTGCACTTAAAAGGAAAACTGAATGACTTACAAAGACACCAGCTTAAGCTCTTGCTTGTATTGTTTTAGGAATCTTGAAAACCTGACATCATTTTGGAACTGGACAGAACTAAGAAAGGGCTATGCTGGTACCTGACTTTCTCATGCAGTTGGTTCTCTTATGAAAGTTTTCAGAAACTTGGATGGAAAAAAAGGCCTCAACTTTGAGTGAATACTTTTCTTCCAAATTTTCCCAACAACCCAGGCTAAGCCTATTAAACTAAGACAGACTAAGATTGTAGTGCATGCAGAGGAATAGCAGAATGGATTTAGCTGGAACGATTTACCAAGTTTAAAGTCTGGGCATGGTTTACTGCAGTTTAAAGTATCCACAACCAGGATGTGAACTCGGAAGAAGGCGGCGTCCGGAGTGACATAGAGGCGACTCATCTTGTACAATCCATCACTGTCTACCAAGAGGGTAATCCACTGGACTCCATTCCCCAGGCTTTCCAGGTTATAAACAATTCCATTCACTGCTGTTTTAAGGGAGAGGGAAAAATAGGATCAGATTTTATATCGTGGCAATTTTCAGGGTATGTGTGAAGGCTGTCATTTAAAATGCTGTAAAGGAAGTGTCAGCAGGAATCCTTTGGCTCAGGAGTGGGCAGTAGGAATTGCTTCAAATAATCACATTTGGTGAAGTCATTGCCTGAAGTTTTGTTGCTTTGCAAACCTTCTGTTTTACAGGTTTGAGATATTTTTTAGTGAAGAAAGCAATGATTTAGTACCATTTTCTATCCTGATATATAAAAAGTGCACACTGCACTATTTACCTAACAAAGTAAAATTTTGAAATTTAAAACTTCTCAATGAGGTACAAAACCAAGCTGGTTATGAAACACTTTGGCTTTTGAAATAAAAGGCCCTTGTCATACCAAGAGACAACAGCACCAAGTAGGTTGTGTTGGGAACTCAATCACTTCATGCTGTTCTCCCAGTTTCTGGATCTGGCAAGTGCTGAGCTGAGTACAGGGATGGGAAAACAGCACCATGTTGGTGGGGCTACTGCACCTGGTGTTACACCTGTCTCAGGAGAACTCTGAGCCAGTCATTTAATTCTTTTATCTGCACTATAAATGTAAAAAAAGAAAAAGCACTCTGATCGCTGCCATGGAACCTTGGCTCATCTGTTGCTCAGACTTTTTCCTACCTGTTCTTTCAATTTAGGAGCAGAGCTGTTGGTTAAGGGCTAAAACACACAGAAGTCAGGTTGCTGTGAAGCCCACATTGGACAGGAATGTGTGAGAGTGGTAAAAACCAAAGCAGGACAGCATTTGTAGAAGGCACTTCCTGACTTCTCCATTTAGAGAAAACAGATGTCTCTTAACGTGTTTATGTTCTACAAATGGAAACATCTGTTACCACTGGGTTTGTATTTTCTTTATCTCTTAAAATACTGTGAGAAAAAATTGGTATCTGTTTCACAACTCTATAAGCACAAGGCAGGATTTCAGTCAGAAAATGCTTGTCCTTAAGCAGTCTGTACAATAATACCAGGCTGTTTTGTGTCACCTTTAGTTACATCAATGTGAACACAAGGACTAAAGACACTGAATCCAAAGGAACTTCAAGAAGAACCCTCTCTAGAGACAGGATCACAGTCTTATTGTTTGGTTCACCATTTTATTTTCATTTCAAACTTCAGTCCCCCAAATCAAACTTGCTCTAAATAGGAAGAGATAAATAACCCAGCTGCAGTGTTTAATCTGAGAGTATCTAAAACAATTGGTCTTTCCAGTTCCATTGACCAGTCTCAAGGACACTGTTCCTCCAGGGGAAACAGAAGAAAGGACAGTACTAGCCCAAGGTGTAGGGAAAAGGCAATGTGTGTTTATGAAGAGATGTGTTGGGTCCCTTTCAAATACATGGTAGTTATTTCACATACTTTCTTGTATCTTAATCACAGTATTTTAAAAGTAGAAGTGCAGTATCAGTGCCAAGTGGACAGAAAGTGCTCTGTCCCTGTGAGTTGAGGGGGACACCACCTACCAAACTCGCTGGCGCAGAAAGCCTCCACTTCATCCTGCTCCTTCCTGCACTCTGTCAGACACATCTTCTCCTTGTCACCATCTACAACAGGAGCACAGCCTGAGGGACAGCAACGGGCCCTTTGGGGATCTCTCAGCCCATTGTGCCCCCGCCTTTGGGAAGCTCTGGGCAGCCTGTCCCTTACCTTTCCTCAGCACGCCCAGGTACATCGAGCCGGGCGCCCAGCGGTTGGTGACCCAGGAGGGTTTGGGGATGCTCGTGAAGGGATCGGGGTGTTTGTGGAGGATTGCCTTCCCCGCTCGGTTGAGGCGGTGCAGCGTGTTCGGATCGTTTGACACCCCTGTTGCAGAGTCTGGAGAAGGGTGAGCTCGCAGCAGGGCCGTCACCTTTGTGTGGGCGGGCGCGGTGCGCAGGCCGCGGGCCCAGACGCTGTTGGCAGCCTGGGCCCGCCGCCG